GTGGTGTCAAGCAACAAAGTAAATGTACTTCGTTACTGTACTTGAGTTAGTTGAGTACTATTTTTGAGAAATGAGCACGTAACAAAGTATAAACTTTTTCTGGAGTACTTTTACTTGGAACTAAGTCGTTTTAAGAAGTAACGTTTTACTCCGTTATTTTTATTTTGTGGCGAAGTATTTCGTTACTTTCTCACATTTGTTTAATTTCACGTGATTTATTCCCGATTTATTTTAATTTTGGGATAGGTAATAGGACCTCTACATGCGTCTGGGATCTCTCGTTTGTGGCTTCCTTATAAGCATTATTTATTTATTTAATAGATTTCTTATATCTTCAACGGGGTTTGGAAAGTAGATCATGCCGTATACAATGAAATATTGTATATTATGGTGCACGTATATAATATGCGTGTGTTATATTGTGTCTTTTGTATGTCAATCCATTGGAGAAGTCCCCCCCCTCCCCCCCCCTCCCACCCCTACACGCTATAGACAATATAGACAATAGTACTTTTACTTTGTACTTCAAGTATCTTTTAAGGATACTTTGTACTTTTTCTTAAGTACGTTTTGCCTCCAGTACTTTTAACTCTTACTCAAGTCGTTTTATTGTTAATTACTTATACTTTTAGTCGAGTACAAATTCAAAATAATTTATGCACCACTGTACATGCATTTTCACATATTGTTAGAGTTGCATTGAAAAAAAATTATTTAAACTTAGAATGAAAATTTATATAAATCATTGTGTTAATTAAATTTGAATGACGTTCAATGTTCTTCAAGAGATCGTGAGTCAACATCAGAGAAGGATAAAGCTAGAGTTGATAAAACCAAAGTTTTATGTATTGGTATAATATAAATTTTAGTATTTGATTTGATTTGATGCGCAATTAGAAAATTGCAAAATTTAAAGTGCGATTAGAAAATTTATTGAATGCAGGGTTTTGTAGTAAGTAGGTACATTTTTACTGCCACGAGCAAGAGGGAGGGGGGGGGGGCATTATGTTTCCGGGTTAGAGCAAGTCAGGGTGACAAAATGTCATTTCTTAAAATTTTGAATTACACCTCCCCACCTCCTTGCTAAATTATGACAAGACCCTTACAGCAACAATATAATGGTCCAGATAAATCAAGATGGCGAAAACAAGGGTCGTCATTTCGGGTAATCGTTCCATATTTCGCGCACCAATACTGCGGATTCAGATAGACCGTTTAATGCGAATAGTTGTCGCGTTAGTTTTAACAGTTGTACGATGACGTTTCTAGGCAGATTTTCGACGTTTCTAAGGCGTGGTTTCAACGCTTATTTTTAAAATTTGAACGTTGTAATTACAAGGTAATTGCTAAATAATATACTTC